TTTATCCACCAAAAACTTCATCACCGACCGATTGCCCTTATCTAAATATTCATAAAGCTCAAGCAATAAATTAGTGCGATATAGCCCTAATAGTGGGTAATCTTTTTCACCTTTTAGATAAATAACATCTTCATGTTTATTGGTTGCTCTATCAAACAACTGATGATAAAGCTGATTTGTACCAATTAAACAATCACAGCTAATCACCATTAAATAGTTTTCACACTTGCAACATTGCATTGGCAATCGCAGATAATGCCCCTGCTCCTTTACCGTTGTCATCGCTTGGCAACTCGTCAGCAATCACAATCACTTTGCCTTTTTCCAAATAGCTTGGCTGATAAAAATTTTTGCCATTATCCGCTATCATCACTGGCACTTTTAAATTTGTTTCATGCCTTAATTGCGTACTTAAAGATTTAGCATGATTGATATGCCACTGTAGCAAGGTTTCACCGTTTGGCAATTTTAACAGGGCTTTTGGCGAACCCATTCGACTAGATTCGCCCCCTGCCAAAATCACAATTCCTGCTAAATCAATCATGGGTAGGATTAACACGCATCAAATGTGGCACAAAATTACACGGACGAGTGCGGTTGTCGAGTTGGTCTTTTAAAATCCCTGTCCAACCTGTGCGACACGCCCCTGTCGAACCTGGTAAGCAAAAAATCGCTGTACTGTTCGCCATACCGGCCACGGCACGAGATTGTAGCGTGGACATGCCGATTTCATCACGCGATAACGCTCTGAACATTTCGCCAAAGCCTTGCACTTCTTTGTCGAATAATGGCGATACTGCTTCTGGCATACTATCACGGATATAAAAACCCGTGCCGCCTGTAGTAATGACCGCATGAACCGTTGGGTCGGCGATCCATTTGCTGACCATCGCACGGATTTGGTAGATGTCGTCAGTGCTCAAGGCGCGTTCCGCCACGTTATGCCCTGCTTCGATGATACTGTCGGCAAGGTATTTGCCTGAGGTGTCTTCGTCAAGGGTGCGCGTGTCGGACACGGTCAACACAGCAATATTTAGTGGGATAAAAGGTTTTTGCGGTTTGTCGGTCATGAGGTTTTCCTTGTTTCATTGTTGCAGTGGGCGAATACGAAGCACCTCTACAGCAAGCGTTTTTTATACAGTTTCTCTTTCCAGCTATCTTCAAGGCAATCAATCGCAAGCCATTGATTGACGATTTCGACAGGGATTTTCTCTTTTTGGTTTGCCATTCGCCACAAAGTCGTTAAATTGGCAAATGGATAGGGTCGCTCGACAAGATAGACAGGCAAGCCAACGGATAAATTTCCGTTTTGCACGACTTGAAAATACCATCCTGCAATACCGTTATTGGTGATAAATGACGCAATTTCATAATGCCCAAGTTGGTCGTTAATTTTAAAACAGGGTCGGCGTGGTTGCACGATTCGCAGTTTGACACTGGTTGCTTTGCCTTCGCTATCGGCATTATCTTCGCCATATCGGTAAACATCACCGATACATACATTGGACTCGGACATAGGTTCAGAGTCGGTGGTGACGGATAAGTTTTCACCCAATGTGCCAATGGCCACGTTCATGTCAAAGTGTTGATTGATTTTTTCATAAGTGGTAATCGGCATTTGATGGACAGCTTTGAGATATCCGCCATGATGTCTGCGGTCGGCTTGCTCATCGGTTTCTAGCCCAAGATAGTTGACAGCGACTTCGCCTTTGACCGGGTATTTGTTAATGGCTGAGAGTTTGTCACGGGCGAAATACTCAGCCTTGCCTGCTCGGACTTCGGTTAAAATGCCGATATATTGGGGTAAATTTAGGCTGTCGTTCATGCTGTTTCCTTGTGGTTTTTTAGCATGATAGGATGTTTGAAACATTCAAGCAAAGTCAAATCCACCTTTAACCGCCCATTCCCTAACCACCAACCATAGAAAGATTTGCCATCATGCCGCTATTACTGTCATTCAAAAAATGGTGTTCTGGCTTGATCGGCATAAGATTCTGTAATGCTAATATCAATCCGTCTTTGTCTTGATTGCTCAAAAATTGGCGAATATCATAGTTTTGTTGATCAAACAAACAAAGATGAATTTTGCCCTGACTGCTGACACGAAGACGATTACAGCTATCGCAAAATTGCGGTGCATACGGTTCAATCAGTCCGATTTTGCCCACATAGTCATCATGACGAAATTCAGTCGCAGGGCCACTGTCAATTGCGCGCTCGGTAGCCGTCCAGCCATTTTCAAGCAGATGGTTTTTAATGGTTTTGCCACTAGCGTGTTCGGCAAAAAATAGCTCGCTGTTGTCACTCGTTTGCATAAACTCAATAAAACGATATGTCACAGGGCGGTCTTTGACATATACCAACGCATTTTGCAAATTGTCAAAGGCAGTGTCTGCCTTGAGAATACCGTTTAACTTTAAGTGGATTTCAGTGCTTTCAAGCAATTTATCAATATCTTTTAACAAAGTCGGTAAGATATCAAAGCCGGTGATTTGCTTAAATACAGCAGGATTAAAGCTATCAATACTGATATTGAGTTTATCCAGTCCAGCCGTTTTCCAGTCGGTCAAGTGTTTGGCAAGCCGGTAGCCAATAGAAAGGTAAGATATCAAAGCCGGTGATTTGCTTAAATACAGCAGGATTAAAGCTATCAATACTGATATTGAGTTTATCCAGTCCAGCCGTTTTCCAGTCGGTAAGGTGTTTGAAAAGCCGTTAGCCATTAGAACTTACCGCTACGGTTTTAATACCTTGCGTTTGTTTGGCTAGCTCAATGATTTGTGGTAAATCGTGACGAATGGATGGCTCGCCACCTGTTAGACGTACTTTGGTTGTGCCGAGTGTGGCAAAGCCTTGAATCAGCGTAGCGATTTCGTCAAGGGATAGTTCGTTATCGGGACGCTTGCCACCATTCGCGGTGTAGCCGTTGGGCAAGCAATAGTTACACCGAAAATTACAAAAGTCGGTAACAGAAAGTCTTAGGTAGGTGAGTTGCCTGTGAAAGCCGTCTATCAATTTAGCCAAGTCGGGGTGGGGTTGGGAAATAATAGGCAAAGCAATATTTGTGCCGAGTCCTATCGCATGGCTTGGGGTGGTTGGGACGGTTTTCATGATAATGTCTTTAGGCGTTGCCTCGGTGGTGGGTGTATAGGCTAGCCACTTTATCAAAGCTTGAACACAATAGCTATCAACCCAAAGGAAAAAACCGTCCTTCTTTGCTACTACTTTAGGGGTATAGGTTAGGGTGTGTCCCTAATTCGAAACAATAAATTTTTAATGGCCTAAAAATGGCTAAATTTAGTTTTTCTTGGTCAAAAACTTGTTGAATACAATGATTATCAATCGGCGTTTTTTCCTCGAAAAACTGGCAATTTATCGCATTCTTCAAGGAAAAGACGTTATGAATACAGGCTCTTAGCTAAAAATTCCATGCAAATGGTTCAATAACAACACTTTCTCCTGCTTTCACCCCCGCATTGTCTTTAGGCAAAACAAGCAAACAATTGGCTTGTGACAGCTGTTTGACACGGTGCGAATCTTGAGCGGATAGCGGGGTGACGCTAAAACTACCATCTTCATTTTGCACAAAACTGGCACGTTGGTAGTCTTGTCGCCCTGCTTGTTTTTTGATGTCGTGCGTGGTGTTAGCAGACAATCTCAACTGCATTGGGATGTCGTTTTCTACGACGCCTGATAATCGCCATAATGCAGGTTTGATAAATTGCAAACAACCAACGACCGTGGATAGTGGGTTACCAGGTAAACCAAAATATAATACTTGTTTGTTATCTTCTGCAAACTCACCCCCAAATTCACCAAAGACAAACGGCTTACCGGGTTTCATTGCGACTTTATAATGGTTGATTTTTCCCAAATCATCAATCACGGTCGTGAGAAAATCATAATCGCCCACCGAAACCCCAGCACTTGAGATAATCACATCACAGTCAGCAATGGCATTTTTAACGGTTTGGCGAGTGGCATCTAGCGAATCAGGCACAATGCCATAATCTTTGATGCTAATGGGTAAATCTTTAAGCAAGGTCTTGAGCGTTGGCGTGTTCGAGTTATAAATCTGTGCCAAATGCTGTAACGGCTCGCCTAATTGCACCAGTTCATCCCCTGTGGCGATGATACCAACGGTTAAAGGCTTGGCGACTTTTATCTGTGCCACACCAAGATTTGCAAGTAGGCTAATATCGGTTGGATTTAGGCGTTTACCTGTGGTCAGAACGGTTTCGCCTGTTTGTACTTCTTCGCCCTGCTTACGGATGTTTGCGCCGATGCTAGCGGTGGTGGCAAGCGTAATTTGATACGGTTTTGATTTATCCAAAGTGGCTTGAATATCGCTAAAATTGGTATTTTCTTGCATCACCACGGTGTCGCAAGTGCTTGGTACAACTGCCCCTGTGAAAATCCGTACACCTTGATTGGGCTGTAGTTCACCGTCATATGGATTACCTGCACAAGACTCACCCACGATGTCGAGGGTAGAATTTTGGCTGATATCATTGTCTTTGGCAAAGGCAAAACCGTCCATTGCCGATAAGTTTTGACGTGGGATGTCAAAACTAGCGGTGATATCTTGAGCCATTACATAGTTGACCGCGTCTAGCAGCGTCTAGCAAGGGCAATTCAAGGGGTTGCCTTTTTGCCAATGGAAAATCAGTCAGATAGGCTTGGCAACGCTCGGTAATGGCATTTTTGAGTTCGGCAACGGTAATCATTGTTTATCCTTTTCCTTTTTGTCATGCTGTTTTTATGCTTTGATTTTACCTGCATTAGCCACGATACACATTTTCTTCATTCATTTGCAAATCAATGCCTTCAATATCGGCATTTTGGCTAAGCTGAAACAAAAAGTCAGTCAAGGCATGGTGGAATGATTGTTGAATTAGTTGATTAGCTATCATCGGACGAGCTTGCTCATAGTTCAAGTGTTGTCCGTCTTCTTTTGTCAAAACTTCTACCACATGGACGCCGTAGCGAGTTTCGATTGGATTGACAGACACACCGATGGGCAAAGCGAATACCGCTTGCTCAAATTCGGGTACAGTTTCGCCTTTGATAATCTCTCCTAAGTTACCACCGTCATCTTTGGATGGGCAAAGCGAATACTGTTGGGCAAATTGGATAAAATCGGCGTCGCGGTTTTGGCTGGTTTTGAGGGTTGTGATAAGTTCATGGGCTTGTTTTTTTAGTTCAATTCGCTCTTCGCCTGCGTCTGGTGGCGAGGCGAGTAGGATGTGACGCACCGTGATGAGTGGTGGGGTAACAAAGCGTTCTGGGTTGTTGTCAAAGACTTGACGACAGCTTTGTTCGTTGGGAATGGTCGGGCGAACGTTTTTATCAATCAATTCACCAATGGCGGTTTCTTCGTCCTCCTGCTTCTCCAAGCGTGTTATCTGCCAAGACAGCTTGTTTGAGCGTTTGAGCCCAAGCGTGTTATCTGCCAAGACAGCTTGTTTGAGCAGTTCTCGCACGACCAATGCGTGAGCCGATTGATACAGGGCTTCGTCTTGGCTATTTGCTGGGTGGTATTGCACTTCTTGGGCGATGGCTTTGGGGTCGATGGTGACCCCATTAACACGAATGGTTGGGATGGTTTGGCGACTAGAGGCGATAAGATTGTTTGGCCGGGTCATTTCTGCCATTGCTTCTTCAATGAGTTCTTTTTCGCTGTGTGGACGCTTTAAGTCGTCACTGGTCGGCATGATACGGATATTATCGTCTTTTTCAGAGTTGGCTTGGTTGATTTGGTTGTTTTTTGGGTCGAAAGTTGAAACGCTCATAAGCTACCCTTAGATCATATAGGTTAAACATTTTGGCTGTGGTATAAAAAGAATGCTCACTATACCCAGCCATAATTGACATAGTGGAACAATAAATCAAACGCTTTAAAATGATTTGCTAGCTTTTTCGAAAAACAACACGTCTTTCGAAATACCCGCCTAAGCCTTTGCCTAAAGCGATTGTTGTTCCCTTCAATATCAACTGTATGGCGTTTACCCACCTTTTTAAGGTCGAAGTCAAAGGCAGTTAAAAAGCTATCCCAGTTATCACAGCAGACATAGCCAAAATCAACACCTAATGCATCAAGCTTGGCTCTTAGCTCTCTAGCCGTCTTTAGATTACGTTTACCCCATACGAAGGCAACAATCTCACTGGTATCTGAGTCGTATGCATACACTAGCCATACCTTGTTCTTCTTATGCCCTACATACGTCCAAAACTCATCCACTTGCAGTTTTCGATAATAGCGTCGTTTAGGTCTTATCTCGTAATTGGAATTAACCAAAACGCTTAATACCTTGCATTTGCTAACTTTCTCAATGACTACAATATCAGCAATGCTACAGCCTCGAACTAGCATTAAACGTATCTTGTCATCAATATCGCTTTTACAGCCTTGGTAACTTAGCTCCGTTTCATGAATGAATTGTCGATGACAGTCTTTGCATTGATAGTTCTGCTTGCCATAGATTTTCCAGCCGTTTTTCTTTATACTTAAGCCCAGACAGCTTGGGCATCTGATTGTAATTTGTGTCTTCATAACCTCAAATTAGCATCTTTTTCTCAAGCTGTCTTTTTTATTTCTACTTCAGCATACTTTTCAAACCACTACCAAAATTTCTTATATAAGCCTATTTCATACATTCTATTACCAATAATTATGATGCCTTTATGATGATTCATCCTCAGTATGATCCCGTAGCGCTTTCCTTAGGTCCATTGGAAGTGCACTGGTATGGGATAATGTATTTGCTAGCCTTTGCTGCCGCTTACGGTTTGGCTTGGTATCGGAATTTGGCACCCGACATGGTCTCTGACTTAGTCTTTTATGGCGCGCTTGGTGTCATCTTAGGCGGTCGTGTTGGCTATTTTATCAGTTCGGTGAATTACTCCAAAACACTGCCTATATCCTATATGTCTGGGAAGGCGGTATGTCTTTCCACGGCGGCTTTATCGGCGTCATGCTAGGTATGTGGTTCTTTGCCCGTAAATATAAAAAGACTACCTTTCAAGTATTCGATTTTATCGTTCCTTGTGTACCAACCGGCTTACTGTTTGGGCGTATCGGCAACTATATCAATGGCGAATTATGGGGTCGTGTCTCAGACGGTGGCTATAACTGGCTGACCTACTTTCCGCCAGCCGCGGCGTTTGATATGGAGCAATTACAGAGCAATCCACAATTGCAAGAATTGATGATTGAAGTCAATGGTCAATACATAGTAAGCATCCGACCAACCCCTATTGCATTTTCCAAACATGAGGCAGGAGCTCATCAATATCCTTATCTTTATGGGTTGGCAGACGTTTAAGCACATCAGACAAGTAGGCATAAACATCCAACCCATTCAAACGAGCCGACTGGATAAGCGACATAATCACCGCAGCACGCTGCCCACTTTTAAGCGATCCTGCGAATAACCAATTCTTACGCCCGAGCGCCCAAGGACGCATCTGATTCTCCGCCCAATTATTATCAATCGGCAAACTGCCATCCTCAAGATAACGTGTCAGAGCTTGCCACCGTTTTAAGCAATACTCGATTGCTTTGGTAATACTTGCGTTCTTGGTTGTGCCTAACCTTTTTTCCTGTAACCAACGATATAACGCTTTGGCAATCGGTTTTGCGTGTTGTTGCCTGATGGCGACTACCGTTGTAGCGACTCTAGGGCTTGGCGTCTCATTTTTCTCAAATAACGCATCAATCTGGCATTCAACCGCATACAGCTTTTGAAATAATGCCAACGCTTCATGAGCCACCAAACTCTGACCCTTGATATGAAGCTCATGGAATTTACGTCTTGCATGAGCCATACAGCCGACGACTTCGATAACCGCTTGCTTTTGATTAAACAAGCACTTATAGCCATTGTAATCATCGCAAATGAGCTGACCCTGCCACTTATCTAAAAAGGCTTTGGGGTGTTCATTTCGCCTACTTTCGGCAAAGTCATACACCACGGCTTTAAAACCACCATATTTTTGACAATGTTGTGGGGTCAGATACGCCCAAACATAGCCTTGCTTTAACTTACCCTTATTGTTATTAAACTTTAAAATATTGACAGGGGTTTCATCGGCATGCAGAATCGGTTGGGTTAATAGTAATTCATGCAAGCGTTTCACCAGTGGCTCAAGGGCGACACCACAGCGTCCTACCCAGTCTGCCATTGTTGAGTCGGATAAATGCACGCCACTTCGCCCATAGATTAGGCTTTGACGGTATAGTGGCTGATGATCAGCAAATTTGCTAATGATGATGTGAGCTAGTAGCTCAGCGGTGGCAATGCTTTTAACGATGACCCCCGCAGGGACTTTGGCTTGAATTAGGCGGTGATTTTGGTTTTGGGTGTCGTCAATTGGCTGTTTGCTAAAAGATTGACGTTGGCAATGCTGACAAGCGTATTTGGGATAGATGTGGCGTTCACGGTAAAAGCAAGCAGGGATAAGTCCGAGTTTGTCTTGTACGTCTTCGCCAATTTGTTTCATTTGACAGCCACAACCACAAGTGATTGATTCAGGCTCATGAATGATGGTTCGGACTTCTAGGTTATCAGGGATGACAATACGCCGCTCGCGTTTGGGTTTCGCTGGTTTGTTGTCATCTGAGTTTGTGTCGGTTTGC